GAGTAGCGAGTAATTTAGCTACTAAATTACTCGCTACTAGACTAAAATACTAGCTTAATGCGAACTAGGCTTTAGAGAAATAATCCACTAAATACACACCACTAATATTATAAATGTGAAAGTGTGTTGGTTTGTTTGTCTTTCTTTCAAGTTGAAATGGAGTGACGGATTGGCGAGATTTTTGGTGTGAAGATAGTTGGAAGGCTGGAGAGTGACATAGGCTACTTTTTATCGTGGAAGGTCATCTCATTCCCACGGGAAAACACGTTATAATACAATCCAAAAATTTATGTCAAAATTACTTTAAACTTGGTATTAATGCTCTTCAATACAAATAAATAAATACGTATTTTAGCATATTTCGAAATTCATCCTATAAGGGTTTTTATAGGGAGTGAAAGTTTGTATGAAACATATGTGGGTAACCTACCTTTTTAGAGATTTTTTGTAGTTGAAGCCGCGGGTTCTGCTAGTAATATCGTAAGGTTTAAATTCACATCACATTTTCAGTATTTCATTCAAAGTATTGTTTCATGTCTTTCATAGAGAAGACGCTGTCTTACGGCTGTGTAAATGTGTGAATAAACTTAGTGACGCAGCTTAAGCCGAAGATCTTGAATCTATGGGATTTTAATGGAAAAATCTTACCTTGAAAAGATTAACGTTTATGGATAACATCATGAAGATACTTGCACTATTTTTTGAAATACGCACGTAGTCCCATTTCGCCATTGTAGCGGCCTATTATAATCTACACCACTCATATAAGAGAGCGGCAAAAATTATATAAAGGATGTATAGTGGAAATAAATACAAATTATAACTCACTATTTTAATATTTTTATTGTAATTTTTCATAATACGGTCGACACGCCGATGCTCTTTACTTACAACGAAAATTGAACACTAATCAAAAACAAATTCTGTAAACATTTGATAGCGATATACTAGAAACTATTATCAATATTTAACAATCAATAATCTTTGATAAGGACAACGGTGTTTAAATATAAAATTCGTTAAACAACACAATGCAAAAGAATTCTACTTGTACTTCGTTTTCGATTTCACTAATCGCTAGAAATATTGCTTGTGATTCTTGTTACAACTATAAATTCATTGTTCTAAAGAAATTCATTTGTTCAGAAAATAATAAATAAGTTGGAAAAGTACAGTGCAAAAGTTTAAATTAACAATATCCGAAGAAGAAAACTAATCAAAAATCTATATAATACTGTTAGTCAAGACCGAAACACATTTACAGAAAAAACCAACAAGAGCTGCTCCCATTATCGTTACAACATGTTGAAAATCTCTAAAACTTAGCTACATTGTTAAAATTAATAACATTTTTTACTTTTTCTTAATTAATAATATCACTATTAACAATCTACGCTGTCATCTCGACTTCGGAAATGGGCATCCATGACATTAATTATTAGTAAATTGTGCCAAACTGGCACTGCTAGAAGCCATGAAATACATGAATTGAATTGACATTTAAATTATTTACAATTTTTTTTGTTAGTTAATTAATATTTTGTGGTGGTTAAACCTTAAAAAAATTATACTTGGATCTATAACAAAACATGATAAAATTTCATTTAATATATAAATATTTACAATATAATTAAGAAAAAAATTATAAGAAAAAAAATTACGAACAGTTACATTATACAATAATTATTTGATTAATATTTTTTTTAATTATCATTTTTTAAATGATAATCATATAATATAGTATTTATCTTTCAGTTAAAAGTTTAGGAAAGAATTGCCTTCAGTCGTCCATACTTTCCCGAAATCGAGATGTGTCAGCTAAGAAAAAAAGTCGTTGACTAAATTCATTGTATCTTCTCATGCAAGGAACACTTAAAGCTGTCTATCTATAGCATATAAGAATTACTTTGAAACCTTAACACTGGAATTACGAATATGGTGTTCGTCAAACGTCCCATACAAAAGAAGATATAACGATAATAGTAATATTTTTGTATTTATCCTTTAAGTTTTTTATTTTATATAAAAATCATTCTAGTAACAATTCTACCTGGATATCATACTCAATTATAAGTTAATTAACATTGTTAATTTTTAATGGTAGCTTTAAGCCTAGACTTACACTACAGAGAAGTTATAAAGGTTATTATTTTATTCAATAAAATATCAAAGTCGAGAGTATCTGTCGAAGTTAATAATATACTTTTAAATAGAATGGAAACTAGTTCGGCTTGCGCTTTTTGGTCTAAGAACAAATCCAAACTGATGCAGCTACGAGTCCGAACATACGACCCAATCGTCGTGATATGATATATATGTATGTAGATTAGTAAAAGTACTTGAACCCTCCGTCAATAAACCTAATCGCAACGACTAGAAACAATGGAAGGATGATTATTTTACAGATTCTACTTAATAATAATATTATTATATACGATAATAAGAGATAGATAGAAGTCGATAGTGTAATATGAGTAACATAGCGTAAGGAGAAGTGGCGTTTATAGAAGAATTACGTACACGCATGGTTCTTGGTGCTTTCCAGTATAGCATAATTAGATATAATATAACTGCATTCTACTTCTTAATTGATGTTATTATCACCGATCTTTAAGAAAGTTTAATTGGAGAGCAAAATTCGTTTGTAACTTACATTAATTGTATAGAATGGCCACGTAATTGTACAATTTCATACATCTTCTGATTCAAGTAACTTGAAGAGTATTGGTAAAGATGAGAAACAAGAAGATATTGAAACAGTATAGATAGATGTATGAGACTGTCCAATCAGATGTGGCACTACTAAGCGAACTACAGAAGGCTATTCAAATCCAATCTTAATATATACAAAATGCGTGGAATAGATGAGAAACCATCCCTTAACTTTCATATAAATACTTCATAAGCATACCCTTATCACAGAATATGATCTACTCGATTTTTTGATACTTATCGATATGTTATTCGTCCAAAAGTCCGTCATTGAATTACGTTGATTACTACTGGCGTAAACCAGCCGCAATTATCCTCTCAGATAGTTTTTGTTGAATTTTGACTGGTCGCTTTAAAGCAAATATCTTAATTTGAAGAATATTTGTGCGTGTACAAAGATTTTCTAGCAACCTGATAAATACACCATTTGAGCGATACACAATGGTTTGACCTGTTAAAGCTTAATAATAATATTATCTATCTATTCTAGTCTATTTATTGCTATGTCAAATAGGCGGGTTATCAAACAACATACTTTGTGGGATCTTAACAAATGTTTTTACAAAATTATCAATTAAATTCTTCATTAACAATCGTTTAATTAAAACAATTTTAAACAACAGTGAAAGGAAACTACGGACGGTTTTTTTAAGATGTTCAAGCTTTGTTTTTTTGCCAAAGAAGACCGTTTTCAAACAACCGTGTTAATTTAATAGAAATAAATTAGTTATGAAATTTTAAATAGCATTGCAATTGCAAATAGCTGAAGGAAAATATGAAAATAAAGATAAGAACGAAGATAAAGTACCTATTTGCATTGTATGAGATAATAGAGTGTAAAAATTACTATATATAATATTTGAGCGGGACACATGCGTCACGTCATCATTAGCACTACATATAGCTTTCAAATGAAAGAATATGTATGTAATCGATTATTAATAATAATATGCTGAATAGAAGCTAGCTAAAAATGTCTGAGTTTTAAAACTCTTAGGCACATTTTATGGAATACGAGTATTTTATTTCAATAACATTATCATCACATCTGCCCCGCTCCACTACGTGTATGTACAGATCTAACGTTTGTGCAGCAACTTCGGCCTCTTTATTATAATTCACGTTAACATTGATATATGACATAATATAATTAGACGATACATCGATAATAGAACACTGCTGCGAGGATTCTATGCACGCTTCAACTTGTGCTTTGGAAGGCAATTTATTATGATCACTCGCTTTTACTTTTTTAATTTGAACATTTTACGTCGCAATTTTAAATTTATTTGTTTTATGTATTATTTACTATCTGTGTTTATCCATTTTGGTTACCGCATCAACTCGGCACTATTTGTGCCAGCAGTGGGTGAGATGGCCCTTACTCTCGCTCAACTATAATTGAGGCCCCATTTTTCTCTGTAACATTCGCTCAATTTTTTATTTAAATCTATAATTTACTTTTAAATAACTTAAATTCATTTTATTTTATTTCATCGGAATATGAATTAGTAAATGGTACTATGTAATTATCCAATTTGTGTAAAAAATCGTATAAAATATTACACGTATCCTCCGTCCTTGCGGATATGGACGAACTACAATTCGACCTAACACATACAACAAAATTAAACGCTACAAAGTTATTACAGTCAAAATATTTACAAAAACAATGAAAAATTAATTAACTGGCGCTACTATGAAAATATTCATTTAGCTAACACTAAACGTTATTGTAAAAGCTTAATAAACAACTAACATTCATATAAATATCTACATTCTACATTATTTTCCCTATAAAAATTGCCATTTGTTTCGACTGGATTGTGTAGAAATATTATTGTATTGCATTCTGTATTGCATACCAATTATGTTAGTAGTATGCTTTTTACAACTGGTTGGTTTGAGCGTCAATAAAATGTGAGTATCTCCTTTACTAGTATATTATTTTAAAACGCTTTAAGTATATTCTCATATAACTTAAGTCACTTTACATGAAAAAACGTTCTAACAAATAAATTGTTTATAAACTACATTATTGGCATTAAAAAAGTATTGTAAATAATTTACTCTAAATTAATAGATTTCTCTTGATGTTCAAGTTCATTATATATCTCATCTAATAAATAACAATTTAAAAACCTTATTATCATTTCTTCATATAATATTGGTTGACTAAAAACAAAATGCTCCCAAGACGCATCATATATATGAAGCGTGCGAATGTTTTTAACAATTACAGATAAACTAATATGGTTTCAAATACAGTTGGAACAATTAACAAATTACTCGCTAGGGCAATGTAGGTAACCGTACTCGAGTCCAAGACTGACGGCAACAAAGACGAAGTATAATAAAAACATGGTGAAGCCCAAGCCTCTGTTCATCTTCCACCTGAAGCAGGCGATGCTGATGATGACGAAGACGAGCATGGCGAACAGCAACACGATGCTGCAGACCATACCCTTGGAGTTGACTCGAACGGGTTCCCCATATATTATACCGTAGAGGAGCCATGGAAGAGGTAGCCTGAAAATATAAAAATTACTACTTAAATATTTTAAATTTGGATGTATGTTGTATGATATTTATAAAATACGATTTTTGTTCATGTTAAAAATTTAATGGCTGTACAGATATACGTACATGAATATATTAGCGTGCACCAAGTGATTATGATTACTTAAATTAAATTAAGTTAATATAAAAGTTTAAAAGAAGCATTTGAAATTCAGTTTTCAAATTTTAGTAGCAAATTGTAACCGAATTTGTCGCAAAGTTATTTGCGAGTCAAGCTCGTTGCACAACTTTTAATATACCTACGACAATTTCTTAAAACAACATATTCCCATATTACGTCGGCTTGTGCTGCAAAATTCGCATAAGCTTGGTCTAAGGAAAATCTGTATACTTTTCGTAGTAGATGACATTTTAATATTAAATTATAAAATTTTGTTACATTATTATGCTTGAGATATCGATTTACGGCTCCAACATTCGTGACACTCCCATTATATGAGATAGCGAGTGGAACTACGTTTGTGATTTGAAATTTGCTTAACCTATTAGAATGAAAGTTTTTAATTCAGACTTTTAAATCCATAGTAATATTATAAATGTGAAAGTGTGTGTGTGTTTGTTTGTTTGTTTGTTTGTTTGTTTGTTTGTTTGTTTGTTCTTCTTTCACGTCGAAGCGGAGTGACGGATTGGCATGATTTTTTGTGAGGAGATAGTTGGAGGGCTGGAGAGTGACATAGGCTACTTTTTACTTTTTACTGAGATTATTTAATTCCCACGGGACAATACGTCATATTACAATCCAAAAAAATATTTATGATCAGAATTACTTGAAACTTGGTATTAATGTTCTTCAATGAAATTAAATAAATACGTCATAGTATTTTTCGAATTTCATCGTATAAGGGGGTAAAATAGGGGATAAAAGTTTGTATGAAACTACTTTTTTAGAGTTTTTTTCGTCGTTTTCGCGCGAGCGAAGCCGTGGGTTCTGCTAGTATTAAATATACAAAATAACATTGACTATAACATACAATATAGTGTGAGAAAAATATTAATGAAAAAAAAAGTATTTAAATACTACAATTATTTATAGACTAGCATTGCCCGCGGCTCCGCCCGCGTTCAGATGACCAAAGACCAAATTCTTAGGTTTTACATATTAGTATATTCTTAATTACAGTTTTTGTATTTTTTGTCAGAAATGCGATATTTTTTCGCAGTAAAAAGTATCCTATATGTTGACCCGGATAATCAGCTATGACCATACCAAATTTCATCAAAGTCCGTCCAGTAGTTTTTCTGTGTTGCGGTAACAGACAGACAGGCAGACAAAAATTCTAAAAACTATAGGTGCGGCCTCTGTATCGATAATAATGTCTATTTTAATAAAATTTTCCAAAAAATATTTAATGTTCAGATTTGACTCAGAATTTGATTATATGTATAGATTATATTTTGGATAAAACGTTTCCAGGTTAATATAACGTGTTGTAATATTTTAACAAAATATACTATGGACCAATAATAAGTGGAATAACACAGGGTTTTAACTTCCATAGTTGATAAGGAGCATGTTCAAATATAGATCGTATCGCTTTATTTTTGTGAGAGGTCCTATCACGCGAGTTTGTATCCTGGCGTTGGCATTTCGTTTGACTCAACATCGAGGCCAAGGACAGATAATATCATAATGCAAATTTTCACGCCAGCTATGGATCATTTACGGCAGTCGGTTATACTCGTAGGTCATTGTTGTAAATTATGTTAAAGTTCAAATTAGATTTGAATACGATATGGCAATTTGCTAATCGTAACTGGGTTCAAATTTAATTTAATTAACAATTTAACTTAAAAGGATATGCTTTTTGGAAATGGTATGGATGTTTCTTGTGTTTACCTATTTCCGCAGGAGTTTGTAAAAAAATGGCCTATTGGGTGTGGATCTCAATAGGGAGTACGTGTGATTTTTTTTTGAATATTTTAAATTATTTTTTAAATCAAAAAGGAATTACATTAAAGAATATTAATATATTATATAGGCTTAATTGGACCCAGTTATGCAAAAAACAGCCATGCGCGTAAAAGTACCAACAGAGTTACAAGCATTTTTCTGTCGATAGTTGCACTTGGGTTATGTTTTATTATTCTGGTTATTTTAAAATTGAACAATATTTATATAAGCATTGTTTTTTTTTATAATTATTTTATTTAGGCAGGCAACTCATGACATTTCATACTTATTTCGACTAAATTGAATGCACAAGTTTTGGGTAGGCTGAACATTTATAAGTCAAATGATGCTGATGATTATTTTAGTTTCAGCCAAAAACTGAATTATTTCTCGCTTGCTTATTTACCATTATATACATCCATCATTGTGTAACTCAACTGTACATATGTACTAAATTTTACTTGTTTTCCTCCAGTGAATAGGAATAATTTAAGGCGTGATAGATGTGAAGTTTAGACAGACACACGAGTGATACTAAAAGGATTTTTATTTTCCATCAGATAGACAGATGGCACAGAATTCTAAACTAAGTCTTAACTTAGAATAAAAAAGGAATTTAATATTATAAATATATGTGTTATAAGACATTTATAATATGTATGTATTTAAAGTTATCTATACAGCTCATTATCTGAAAAGATTGTTCTAAAGCACTTAAAAAGTCAAACAGAAATCATTCGTACCAGTTAGTTACGAATTTACAGTTATATGAAAAAGTTTATATATTCTTCTTTAAATAATAAATATTTTAAGCTTTTTAAAACGACGGTGTAATCTCTAATGGAAAAACTTTAATACGAGAGCAAAAGTTAAGAGACGAATGAGAAAAGTATATTTGCTGAATAAATCCAAGCAAAATTTCTTTGAAAATAACAATGTTTCCCATTGTGTATCCAGCTTTTGACATATATTCTTTGCCACGTTCTTATGACGCTGAAAAATATATTCTTAGGCCATAGATTTAAGAGTGATTGTCCTTTGAACATTTTAAGGCTTTAAGGTTGTTTTATTTCAACCATTTTGAACTCTATTACGAAGATGATAAGGATGTGCTTATCGGTTAACTTTAGCGCTATCGATCGAAAGATGCACCCTAAGCCAATACAGTAGTGCCTAGACATATAAAAATAAAGTCATTTAAAAAAGAACAAACCTTAATAAAATTAAATGTGGACGATTATTCCTAAAAACCACTAAAACATCACTTCTTCCCTATAGTTTTCAACTAAAAAGCTGCAATGACTTATGATTATTTTCAACCGACTTCAAAAAGGAGGAGGTTCTCAATTCGACTGTATTTTTTTTTATGTTTATTACCTCAGAACTCCGTCATTTATTAACTGATTTGGACAATTTTTCTGTTGTTTGAAAGTGTATACTTCCAGATTGATAACATTTAAATTTCAAAAAAAATACCACCCCTAAGGGTAGAAAAATAGCTAATGATGAATTTAACCTACTTCTAATTGTCATATTAACTTGAAATTTTGCAAGTGTTTCTATTTCCGTTGATAGTACAGTGCTTCGGTATTGTTGACCTGATCTGATGGTAAGGCCAGAAGGTGATAGGTGGAACTCTTGAACGGCTAATAGTAGATACTTTGAGTTTGGGCTTATTTTGTTTGATTTGAAAAGCCTAACGCGTTAGAATTCTTACTTTGCATCTACTGTCTACACTAAAAAGGGAAAAATAAAAACTTTTTAATAAAAAAATAAAAACCGACTTCAATCAAAAGCACTAAGAAGTAAAAAATTACTGATTGGTAGTTTTCATTTACTATACATACCTAATCAAATAATTTCGAAGTCGGTGCTAGCTGATACAAAGCAAAGCACACCGACTTCGAAAATGAAGTCAGTTTTTGTTTATTTGTTAAAAAAAATTTTTAATGTAATTGTTCCATCTTTAGGGGTAGATTTAAAAAAAAACCAAATGTGGCCACCCTTGAGATATCAATCTATTAAGAAAAAACTATAAAAATCATTTACAGTATCTAACACATGCATTTTTGGCACCCGAATTGAGTATCAAATTCTTTTAATTGTACATAAATTCTTTGAGCTTATCCCATACTCAATACCATGCAAAACTCTTAAAACTGTCACCGATTGTGTTTGGGTAATTAATTATTCTAGTTGCAATAAATATACAACAATGTAAATTCAACCTTAAATGCAATGCTTAAAGATGTTTTTACAAAAAATAAATAAAAAAATAAAAGCGCGCTCAAATGAGCGCTCATACGGTGAGGACGTTTTTTATCCCTGATTGTGTATCTAGTACTTTTATTGATCGATAGCTTATCGTTTGAACAATGTTAAATCTGCCAAACACTCAATTTTAGTAGTTTATAATGTCTAGCCGCTTAATATGTTACTAGTGACCTACCCCGACTTTGCTCGGGTACGTCCCTAAGTACGCGCATTTATAACTACCGCATATACTTACGTATATATTCAATAACGATCTACTATTTTGACATTAAAAACAGACACTTCAATTTTATTTATTTGTATAGATAACGTTGCTAGTGTGAAATGGACCTATGATTTTGGTCTATATATAGGTAATCTGTTAATAATTAGACAATGCTATAACTGGCTTTGAATTACTATCTTGTCCAAACAAATATATTACTGCTATATGCTAAGCTGCATTTCATTTTAACTGCTTGGCTATCTAAGCTGGATAATCCGCGAGAAAATCCGAAATTATAGTTTTATTTAAAATAGCTAAAAACTTTTAAAGTCTTATCTATCTAGTATCTTCATTCTGAGGTACACGACTTGAATTTGAATTCATCTCCCTTTGAGTTCCTTTATTTACCCTAAATATCCTATAATAAATCCTAAAGTATGTATGAAAAACACTACTACTAATATTTAGAAAAATCTACGAAAAATAGGCTAGTGCTGAAATAAATTAATAATGTATAAGGGGATAGATGAATCCATGTCATATAAATGCAAATCGTGATTCTCATTCATTAACAATTTA